TAGCCATTATTTTATAACGGCTATTTCGTAAATTGCAAATTGTTTGCTATAGCCATTATTTTATAATGGCTATTTCCTACATTGCAAATTGTTTGCAATGTAGGAATGTTGCTATAGCAAAGCTCCAAATTTATGAAAATGGGATATAATAACTTTTATAGATATCTTCACGAAATTGTACGTTCCGCACACTATCCAGTGATCAGCACGCTCCGACGCGTATTCGAGAGGTCCGTGGTTCGAGTCCCGGCGAGGACATTGCCCACTTTTCACGTCTCCCGCATCAAAAGGACCTAATGTCTCTACACTGGCGCCCGAACTAAAAGATGCTGAATAATGATTCTTCACCACCAGGATTTGGCGATTGGGTCCCCTAATCCCCAGTCGACCTTTAAAAGGGGGAGTACATACGGTACTTCTCCCGCCTTTTAGCATGCCTTCATGATGTAATGGTCAGCACGCTCGACGGGTATTCGAGAGAACCATGGTTCGAGTCTCGGCGAGGGCACAGGTCATTTTTTACGTCTTCGGCATCAAAATGACTTAATGTCTCTACAACATTACTGTTCTTTCTCCTCATAACCAGCTTTCTCTGTATTCTAAACAAAAGCCATCCGTGGAATAACAATTCCATGTTAAGAGGCTCCCGGGATAGCCCAACTGGGGTGGTTGTCCAATTATTGCCAACGAGTTGCCCAGATGGAATAGGGCAACTTGCCCTATCTCAATCTAGTGCAGAGGTAATTTTCCTATCGTTGAATAGCATGTGATATTAAAACAGAATTTAAGTGAGAAACTTTATATTAGTATCTCACCTTAGCAGAGCTTATGCTTCACGCATGCGTAATAAACATTGTATTAAAAATTTATTAGCATGGTAACTTTCGCCGCTTAGCGACGAATAAGAACTTCAACATAATCAACTGCTGAAGAATATGTGTGATGTGTTGACGACGAGAAATTTAATATAAATTTCTTTACATATGCCAAAATTAAATGTTTACATTAAATTACACAAATTTAAACAGCAGTCATGGACAAAAAAAAAAAAAAAATATTTAGTACTTTTTCGATTAAGAATTATTGATTTCTTATTCAGATAGGTGAGAATTTATTTACTCGGGACTTAAAAAGCATATGCGAAGTCTTTAATAAGAATGTTGTCCGTATCTGTTGTAATACAAATACTAAAAATGTTTTTCAATATCATTCCGATTTCCCTACAATAATAACCTCATACAATTGATATCTCTCTTGATGGTGGCATCAGGACAATCAAGTAAATAGAAAAATGCTTTGCCTTTTTGACTTTATTTAAAAAATTTGCTTTATATTATCTCCTAATAAGCTAATTGTTTTATTTTGAATTTTAACCTCAAGTAATGACCATATGTTTTTGTTTGAATTTTTTTAATAATACAGACATGATAGGGTCAAATTTTATGATCATTTCTATACACTTTAAACAATTATAATTTCTTTTGAATACTTTGTTACTGGAACCACGGAAGGCTAAGTTTTGTTTGCCTAAAAAACTAAATGGCATAAAAATTCGATAATTCTTTCACTAGATAACTCTTTCCATAACGTCCCGTCAATGTTTAGTCTCTTTTTTTAATAAATTTTTAATCAATTTGAAACTCGGAATAAACATTTATTATTCGTCATCAATCTAAAAAATCAGGTTAACTCTTTCGTTGTTTGGACATCTAAAAAAATTTACGTGTATCTTTGGCTTTTGGGAAACTAAAACTGAAACCAGGTTTTGGAAATCTAGAAATTTTCTATTAAGGCTTGAACTTGGGATGGCAATAATGGACTTTGGCTTAATCCGAAATCATCAGGTACAGGCAAATGTGTACCCACTGCGGAAATTGTAGATTTCAATAGTATTTCTTCTTTTCAATAGTATGTTTTTTTTTTTTTTTTTTTTTTTTTTTTTTTGTACCGGCTGCATTGAAGTTAAAGGTAATTCCCGGGTGAAAACACTTTAAACTGTTTCTGATTATTAGGTTCTTTTGGTAATTACAATGATAACTGACACGTTGATGGACAACTAGTGCTAGTAGCGTCAGCTTGGGTATTCTTTGGGTTTTGGAAATCTGGAGTAATTTTATAGTTCTGGTTTATTAAGTCTTCCTCTCACCTTTTTTTCTTCATTATATTCTGATACTTACACAGTTTTTTTCTGTTTTTCTTCCGACATATGGGAAAAAAAATGAAAACAGAAAAAGTGGAAGTAAAAAGTAGAAAATAACTATTATAAGAATTATGCATAAAACACTTAAAAATAACATTAAAAAATGTTATTTTCGAATTTAACAATGAATAGAGCCATGTTTGTGACGGAGTAGATAGTTTTAATGTTGGGGGTTGTACTTAACCAAGCACAGCTTTTACTAAACTATACTTGGTAGAGTGGCATGGGTTGTCTGGTTCTATTTATAGTGCGTTGTACAATTTTATATACTGTATACCCTTTAGTAGTAAGAATTTTACTTATTTCTTTGGTGTCCATATTAATAGGGAGACCCCTAATTACTATTTTGATTGATCGTTGATGTTCCTTCCCCCCCCCCAAGAAATTGTTTTGTGAGAATCCGGTGATCACATGGGGTATCTCGGATAATTTTGAAAATTCTCCATTAATATGTCCTAGAAATTTAGTATCTATCGTGTTAGCAAGGTGTTTAAGGTAGTCGCTAAATTTGGTGTCCGGCGGTGGTCTAACCATGATAAGTAGTACTGTAGGTTTTGGATTTGGGTGTTGGAATCTTGACGTAAGAGTTATTATCATTAGTGTTAGCTGGCTGTGTATCAGGGTTAGTGTCCAGGGGACTAAATCTATTATGAACTACTGTTTGGCTATTGGCAATTTTGGTGGGGCTGAATTATCAGAGTTTAAGTGAGTTATTGCCTTCACGGGATTTAACAAGTAAATCAAGCTTGTGGTTTTATAGTATTCTTTTATCCTCACAGTCATACGCGTGTAGTTCTTTTGAGTAGGTGTCTCTAAACAAAGACGGTGACACCAAAGACGGCGTAACCTGTGGAGTCGCACCGGACGACAGAATTTAGGGGGTGAGAAAAAATTTTTTAACTTCGAGAAATACCCAGAAGCAAACTTTAGGGATGGCAAAATTTTTACAATTTAGGGTCGGCACTAAGCAGCTGAATTTAGGGGTGGCAAAAGTTTTATAATTCAAGGAGGTGAGGAGCAGCAAAATTTAGGACACTTGAAGATTACACCGGGTGGAAAAATGTATATCGCCGGACTTGGGTGACATTCAGTTCTTGGAAAATCAGGATACACAATACGCATATCTTAGAAGATCATACCGAGTTATGAAAGTGATTATTAATATCTACTAATGTGTATAGTTTAGAAAGAGAGAGAAATTTCAGAAGGAACGGTCTGTATCTTTGTCCTATGTAATATATCGCGTAAAATTATTAACATATAAAGAAACTGGAAAAGAGCGGAAAAACAATTTAATAATTGCACATAATAATGTAGAGACATTAGGTATATTTTTGGAAGCAGGAAAGATGAAAAATAGCAACCGCCTTCGCCAAGAATCAAACCACTGACCTCGATCCGCCTAGCGTGCAAACCACACAACCCTAAGCACACTAGGAAAGCGGGAGAAATACCTTATATACGCCCCTTTTTAAAGGGCGACTAGGGTTTTTAGGGGACCCAAGCGCCAAACCCTGGGTGTGGGAAAATCCTCATCCAACATCCTTTTTAGTTCGGGCGTCACTGTAGAGACATTAGGTTAATTGGAAAAGCCTGAGAGATGAAAAATTAGCATCGCCTTCGCCGGGAATCGAACCACGGACCTCTGGAATACCGGCCCAGCGTGCAGAACTATTACACCGCGAAAGCACGCTAGGAAAGCGGGAGAAATACGTTATAACAGGCATAGCTGTAAGTAACCCTTAATATTATTCTTTGTTAAATAGCAAGAGTTATTACTAATTTCTTTTGGTAGGTGTGACAATGCTAATCAATTTTATTTCTTTCTTTTAATTCCTCAGTCAATTTTTACAATTTATGAGGTAATCTAATTTTTTTTATTAGGTCGGATATAGCGAACTGCCATTCGGTCCTCATAAATTCTTTGTTCAGGGGACCTAACTGTACTACCATCTATAAAATACTTAACTTTTATAGATATATAAATAAATTGATTTTTTTTCCTCCTTTGTACATTTATATAGTCTTCTGTTACAAAATTTCATAGAAGAGTCACGCCAATGTGAGACACTTACAACGATTTAATTTACCTGTCAAAGAGCATCAGAATACTGTCTTTAAAAGAAATATGCGAAGTTACATCAAGAATAGTATAGTTTGCGATGTTATGTAAGCAAAGTTTATAGTTCTCAGCTTCGGTACGATATTGCATTTTGAGTAAAGCGCATTTAAGAAAAGAAGTTTGGTTTATTATTATTATTATTATTAACAGAAACAATCCCTCTCATCTCAGCATTCTTGGTAAAATTCTTACGCTCTTGTCTTCTTTTATCAAGTTGATTCTATGTGTCTATGTTTTCTATGGAGATGCTAATAGATTCGTCCTCAATGATGTTTTCAGACAATTAAAACTATCCGAAACGAAGCGACAACCAGTCTATGACAAATACCAAAAACATATATCCTTACAATGTAACTGCATCTGTTTTGATGGATGTTTATTAGAAGTTAATAGCATAAAAACATTTTATTATTCAAGCAGAACAACTTTACAAGCATTTTTCGTAAACCTTTTGAACACAGGAATACATGTATCAAAGTAATAAAAGAAACACAAAAATTATGCTAAAAATTTGCTTAAAGCTACTGTGATTAATAATAATAATAATAATATTCATGTTATATATGCAACATGAATATATATAAGAAGAGTTTAGTTCTTACAGACATATTAAAACAAAATTTTATACAAAGCTGTGCTTAAGAAATGAGTACAGAAGGAATTACAGAAATATTTTACCTGCGATGTTTCTTCACCCAACCAGAAATGGATATCCCACTCAAGTCTGCCACTTTTTGTTTCCTTTGTCTAAATAATTGACAGAAATGTTAAAACAGGGCTGAAATTAAATACAACTGTCGATACTTGCGTATTAACCACTAAAAAGAACTCTGATTTGTACCAGATGGTGAAAACGTGAAGATAAATGTTTGGCCTTCCTGTAGAAATGGTATCATGAATCCTCTCCACGTCACATAAATTTGTAGTCTCTTGTTCTGTTAGCTTCAGCGTGTTCTATCTTTCGACGTGCCTAGGATTTGTTATTTTCTTAATAGGTTTTTGATATGTGCCAAAGGACGAAACAGAAGCTATTCGCTTTCTTTAAATCACGGAATATTACTTTGCAATGCAAAATATTTTAATTTTTATAGATTTCATTAAACTATACATCACTTATGAAAACGTACAAGCGTAACTCTGAAAATTATAGACAGATGATAAACAGGAGAGTAGGAAATTAATTTTAAAGAATCCAACTCACATTTGTAACTCTTGTGGACGAAATCGCACATCCAGTATTTATGTTAAAGCTGTTAAAATAATATGTAAGCTCCCCTCCAGGTCCGCGAAACTTTACCAAGACTAACTGTTCCATTCGGTGAGCTACACAAATATAAATAAGAACGCACTTAGTCCATCTAGGGAATAATTTGGTTTTTATGACTATGGCGAAGCACGTGAGTCTTATCTGTCTAAGAGGAAGGATATCTTCGAGGATATCTTTCTAACAGAAACTGGCATATCCACATTAAATATGGTGAAGCTCGTGAAACCAATCCGTTTACCTGGAATCGAACCCAGAACAAACTAATAGAGCTGAGCGACTTTACTGCTCGGCCGCTGGTGGGTCTAGTCCAGCTGAGGTACAGACAGAGCAGGTAATCTTAGTAGCAGTAATTGATGTTCTCAGCTTTTACTGCCCCAAAGCTTTCGTGTTGTTTTGTTATCTTTCCCTTTCTGTATTTAAAACAAATTTTTATTTTCGGACTAATAAGAAACCCTCAAGAGTTTTCTTCAGAAATTTTCAGAGTAACAGCGATAGATTTAATTCCTCATGATGAATTCCCAATCAAATTTTGCCAGTTTTAACTCAATATGGCGAATTAAAACAATTATGATGGAGAATAAATCTCTGGCACATAGAACGGTCATCAGAGTTTCCTTGGCACTAACCTGATAATAGCCATTAATACGCAAATACTTAACATTCTTTGATTTTATTACTAAAATCAACTATGTTAAATATAGGTTACATTTTATAACATATATAAAATATTGGAATGTTAGTTTGACAAAAATAAAACATTTATGATTATATTTATACACATAGGGTATAAAATTACATAAAACACATAGGGTCTAAAATTAAAATACGTTAATCATTTTATTACTTTATTTTGCCAAAATTTTGATAGCTTTATTATGTATACAAATAAATGCAACTGACGCTCGTTATAACAGTCCTTCGCATCCGAAAAAAAAAAAAAAAAAAAAAAAAAAAAAAAAAAAAAAAAAAACGTGTGAAGGTATGCTTTTTAGCCGGATACTATTTCAAATGCCGTTCTTCCGATGGTGACTGAAACTGAAATACAAGAACTTGAAGGTAAGTGCAAAATTTTTTTAGCGGCATCTCTAATCGAAAAACAATTCTAGTATTATTAATTCTGGTAATTGTGATGTGAGTGCTGGTGAGTCTAAATGTTTCACATTTGGTGCAATGACTAAAAGGAAAATATTAGGTACTGATTCTGAAATTTTTTATACTGAGCATGGCTTTAAAAGGCCTGTTGAAATTATCAAAAATTCCATGAAAATTTTTCTGTTAGTATTAAGTTTAACGTGCTGAAGGAGAATGTTGCTAATCTACCTGACATACTTCATAATGAAAATGTTAATGAGTAATAATTATTATTCTTTGGTAGTATAAACATTAATGTTAATGATAAAAGTTTTATTGATGTATATAGTAATGTGAATGGTAGTGTTTTGAGTAGGAATTCTGATAATATGCCCCAGACTGCAATAGTAGGTTCTTAGTAAATTTGAAAAAGGTAATCCTTCCATCATAGTATCATAGTTAAAGCTGACGAGGCAATAACCTTTAAATTTTTATGGAGAACAAAAGTTATCACTTTGTTATAAATCCTAAGTATCAAAAGTCTATGAAGGTAGTGTTAAGACAGCTTCCTTCAAATATAGACAGGAATTGAATTCAGGAGGCTTACAGCAAAGTGGCTATAATGTACACAAAGTAGTACACCTTACTAAGTAACTATTCATTTCGAAATAACTGGGCCTAGAATAACGGAGCTGGTTGCCTGGTTTAACTTCAGAATCCGGGTACCAATGCCATTATTCCAGGCCCAGCTATTTCGAAATGAAATGTTTGATAAAATTTAGAAGACTATTGATCTATTCAGATTCTCGATCAATGTATAACTCCAAAGAACTAGACCTACTTTTATTTTTGGTTTTATTTGGAGTGGGCTATGTATGTGTTTGAGATGTGTGACGAATTTTATTTAATTTTAACAAATCTACTATGTTTTAAATTTTTATGCTCGTTTTGCGTGAGTGTTGCTTTAATTGAATGGGTTTGCAACCTTTTGCTAACAGTAATTTTGAGTTTGCTATGTCTTTTTTTTTGGGGGGGGGTGTAATTTCTTTCTCTCTTTACTCGAGATCCTGGCCTGCTTTCTCTGGGGCTAGTTAAATTTTGTTGATTTGTTTTTTTTTGGGGGGGCGTGGCCGGGCTGCTGGGTACCTAGTTTTTAGTTAGATTGGCTGGTCCTCCTTTTAGTCATATGGACGGCTTTTGCCGGCTAGGTGGATTGGGAGATGCACCCGCTAATACTAATACTAATCCCCAACACGTTATGGTCACACCTCCACATCAATACTGGATTTCTAAGTCCGGGAAGTTCAAGACACACATGTAGAAAGTCTCCGTGAATTACCCTCGGATCATAAACCTGTAATTATGGACATGGATTTCATTTGCCATTATACATTAGACAACAAAGCCTTTGTTACCAATTGGTAATCTTATACTAAAGCTCAGAACAATACACATTACTCTGCACTCCAAATACACGACAGAGAAGTTAGATGCTACTTATGATTTCAAAAATGAATTGTTCCAAGCACTTAATGGTTTGTTTAATTGATTATGGCCAAGTACTCGTGCGGCCATTTGCTTAAGGCGAAGGATGCCTTCGTGGAGGACTTTTAAGGAGAACCTGATTCTATACACGTTACACATGGGGAAAACCACGAAAACGCTCATGCAGGCAGCCCGTTCGTCGGATTTAAAAATCCGGACCGAACTACCAGGTGTTTTAACACTTTAGGGCTTGGTAGCTGGTGGGTCTCCGAGCACTAAGGCAAGTGACCCAAAAGAAATCCAGAATCCTGTTGATCTTGCTGCACGGAAGACCTTGCAGCGGTTTGGACACTCTAAGGACAAGCCGGTCTTAAATAGACTAAATCGGAGTAGCTTCTACTCGTTAACACGCACAAGACGACTGGACCAAGTACTTATAGTCTACAGCTCCTGCTGATAATTCCATCTAGAAGGTGACAACTACGTACAAAAGATGTTACACTAAATTTCCGTCCCTTAATGGGCTCAAGTACGCACTATGTTACGTGAACACCGAAATCTGGACAAGTCGAACTTTCACCGTGATGTCACATTCACATAGTCTCTTGGTGTATGTCGAAATTTTTCCAAATTTCTTTATTTCTGACTTACACCGTAAATTCGATATTCACCATTACTATGGTGATGTTGACATAACAATATTATTTTTTTTTCTTCGTAATTCGTCGCGATAACGCCTTGAGACTTGAAATAAACTTAAAAACATGAGACCTAAAACACACAACATCAAATGAGAAGGAAATATAGAATTTTAAAAACTTACTTATTATACAGTACGTTTCTTTAACGAGAAAATAAAATAACAGTAATAAAAAATCCTAAATTATAGATTCAAATCTTTTATGCAACAACTTAGTATACCTTAGACCTCTCTTTCGACTTTCACCAGAGTATATCTGATATGCGCATCACCTGAGGTCCGAATTACACGAAGGAGTAAAATTCGGCTTTCACGACGTATTGATGATTTGTATCTCCGGGAAAGTCGATTTCTCCAATTTCGGTCTTTCACGGTAACATATACATCAAAACTGAGAAAGCGGAATCACTTGCCGATTACTATGCTTCTTAGTTTTGCAAAAACAAGTTTCACATGCTCCAACAAAAAACCTTGTTACTGCAACGCTAATAAATTTCCAAACACAAATAAACACAAACAACATGTCTCAGTTCGGCCGTCGGATCTCTTTTTGAATTTAACCTAAATCAAGCCTAAAAAGAATTCAGGCAGACAAGATGCTACAAAACATGGGACTGTTTGTGATTTTCAACCTTATTTAAGATCACGAACTATATACACGAACGACATTCCACACATGCATAACAGTAAACTTTATGTATGTGATGTATGCTAATGATACAGCATTCTTACTCAAAATGTATTGTTTGTTTTAGTCAAACAGTCCGTCCTGACAATCACCTACATGCCTGGAGGAATGACTTCAATTGGGAAAATCAAATTAATGTGGATAAGTCTGAAGTAGCCTATTTTCAAAGAAAGGCCTAAAAAGAATTCAGGCAGACAAGATGCTACAAAACATGGGACTGTTTGTGATTTTCAACCTTATTTAAGATCACGAACTATATACACGAACGACATTCCACACATGCATAACAGTAACTTAGGTATGTATGTATGCTAATGATACAGCAATTCTTACTCAAAATGTATTGGTTGGTTTAGTCAAACAGTCACTCCTAAATCACCTACATGCACTGGAGGAATGACTTCAAATTTGGAAAATCAAAATTAATGTGGATAAGTCTGAAGTAGCCTTATTTTCAAAGAAAAAGAATTCTGGAAATGAATGCATCTCAATGTATGGCACGTTTGGGCCAAGCAATTCCGATATTTAGATACAGTTTTATACTGCAACATACAGTCAACATCAGTTCTCAGTTTAGTTGAGTTCAGAGTATAGTTTAGAGAACCGAGAGTAATAAGTGATCACTCTGTGAGCTTAAGCATTGAGGCTTGCGTTTAACGTTCTTAGTAGTCTGTAGAGAATTACTGTGCTCTGCCATACCGAGAAGAGTTATATGAGTACTTTTGCGAAAGTTTCAGAACTGTAAAGTGTTTGTTCAGGGTAAAATACATTTTATGAAGTTGTAATCAGTTCTATGTGTATTCGATGAATTAACCCCCAGGCATGTAACAGTATCTAATAGAAATACTGTATAAGTAGCATTAATATTCTACGATTAAGATATACATATTACATTTCTTAAACTGAAGTTTATTTAAAATAAAATTTTGATTATATGTCTATGTCATTTCTACGTCTCTTTTTTTTTTTTTTTTTCTTTTGTTTTTGTTTTTGAATGGTTCTTTGAGAAATGTAACTGGTTCTTTACTGTACTATAAAATAACTAAATGGATCTCCTGTATTACTGGGAACTTTAAATGGTGATGTAAAATTATGTGTATCATTATTATAGCAGTAACTTAAGTCTGTTCAAGAATTATTACTAAAATTCAAGGAAAGAATTTTTAATTAAAAAATTAATATATAAGCTGCTATGTTTAAGTATCACGTAAATTAATTCATTTATTAAGAATTATCAGACTATAAATATTTATATTCATATAAGTGCATTATCCGAATAATCTGCTACCATTTCCCTTAATAATTATGGTTTTCTTCTGCGTTGAAATATAACTGCGAATAGATCATGAATAAATTTTAAACTTCAGTCTTAAAATAGCTTTCTCAGTTATGTTTATTAAAAGCAATATATTAAGAAGATTATTTTGTAAAAAAACTCGTTAATTTCTTTGACGCCTTACGCAACAATACGATTATAACTCTGTTCATCCTTAATAGATGGCAGCATTCATGTGTTCCAAAATGGACTCCAACTTTTAATGTTATTTTAGGAGCTATATACTTTTCGATAACTACCTATCAGAAAATATTTGCTCCCAGCTTATAAAGTTTAGGTAAAACAGGAATCTTGCATTACTTAAAATCACGGAGTCATTGCATGTCGCTTGATACATATTTTTAATTGTCTTTATTTCACGTACAGATATATACATTTTTTTTAACCACTGAAAAGAGAAATTTGTAAAACTGAGCGAAAGATCAAACAAAGTCAACAGCTGAAAGAAAAAGATCATAAATGTTTGTAATACGGGACATTTTTCAGCGAAACGTTATAGGTATAATTAAATTAATAATCCATACTAAATGAACAGAATTAAAAACTGTCAATTTAAACTCTTCACGAAAATATTAAAAATTAAATACTTACACTTAATAGTATGTACGAATCTCCATTATAAAAATTACCGTATTCACTTTTCGGCACAGGTTTCACTTCCATTTGCTAAAAAGAATAAACCTATACACATGTAGCAATACAGATTATTAAAAAGGCTTATAGAAAAAAATTTTTTTTGCTTTTTAACGGAAACTCTTTTTATGCTTAAATTACAGTGAAAGTAAATAATACAGAATGAAATAATATAGGAAGCACACATCTTATTACACTGCGAACCCTAAATTACATGTAATGATAGAGAATGAAATAATATAGAAAACACACATTTCGTTATACTATAAACCCTCAATTATATATGCCATTATATAAAAGCCAAGCTGGATAAAACATTCACACTCGCAGATTGTCAGCATATAATTTTTGGATATAATAATACTATCAGTAATGCAGTTATTTTACCTTTCTTTTAGTTTTAAAAATTAATTCAAAGAAATTTCTTTTTTAATCTTAAATACACTACAATAAAAAATGACTACAATTCAATCCGAAAACAACGCGTTTATGTCTAAAAACTCTAAGCTCCTCCTAAATTACCTAAACTTCGAATGTTTATTTCACAAGTGTCGTGTAATCTTCTTAGTGCATTTAAGTTAAAAGAATTTTTAACTGATTCTATGTCCAAAAGATTATTCATATGTGATTTTATAATTTTCTCTGGTTTTTCAAAGCGTTCTTTTAAGCTCTCAGTTTATTAGTTCTTAATAGTTACAATGCGATTTTGCTCCACCAGAATCTGAGGGATCTTCTCGTCCAACATTAATGGGACTGCTATCAAGGGAACATTTCATGTCTAATTTGTGTGTGTGTGTGATTATGGCAAAGCCTCAAGGGCTATCTGCCTAAGGGAGGGATGCCCTTCGTGAGGACTTTCCTAAGGGAAACTGGCTCGTATACACGTTCACATGGGGAAACCACGAAAACGCCCATGCAGCCAGCCCGTTCGCGGGATTCGAACCTCGGACCGAACTACCAGTGTTCAGCGACTTTACCGCTCGGCCGCTGGTGGGCCATGTCTAATTTGACATAAAAAAATTTGAGGTAATTTAATGTGATTCTTACATATGCCACAATTATACTATTTATTCTTCTTAAAATTTCATAAATCGATTAATATAATTCTATGCAAGCACTCTACGATTTTATATTTAATCCCATATGATAAAGAATATCATTCATTTTACCTTTTACCGCAGGTAAGTAAAACAGTGTCCTTTAAAAGTTCTTTTAATGTGTTTTTATACACATTGTCTATAGACACACATGTCACATTTTATACACATTGTCTATAGAAGCTAAAAGATAATAAAGAAAATCACCGCCTCTGAATGTCAGAAAATTGTTCCTTCTAAACAAGTCATCATAAAAATAAACATAATACCAACAACCCCAAGGTCTTCCGATCTATTCGATAGCACATTTATATATTCAATTCATTTAAATTTCTGTTTAATTTAGAAATTCGATCTCATCGTTACGTAAATTCATGCAGCTGCTAACCATGAAAAATTAAATCTTTTCATTTAAATATCTATCAATGTCAGTATATTGATTAGATTGCTAAAAAAATCGACCAATTTTTGAAAACCACCAGTATTCGGTATTAAATACTTTCATTTAGAAGTTATTAGCCCCAAAGGGATGTAATACTAGTCTCGATAATTTTGCGTTGAATCACTATAAACGACATATCATTTTTCAAATTGTTGCCCCCAAATATTTTTGCTCTGTATTATAATTAAAGAAATTAAATAATAAAGAATCTGCATGAATGTATTCATGTTTCTCGCTCGCGAAATAACAACTGTACCTAGAGACATCAAAGTTTGAATAGCATAGTCCTCCAACGATTTCAAAGCGAGCAGTTGCAAACTACGGAACAGCATTTTTATCTCTTGCGTGCGAGATTGTCTGTCGTAAATTCTAAAGATATGCTGTTTTTAAATATTTTGTGATTTTGCTATTGAATCAAATTTTATGTGGCGTAAACGCCAACAAAGTTATATTTAAGAAATAAAGTAAACACACAAAACGTTAATAAGAAAAAGACAAAAAAAATTTGTAAAATTAAATTAGTAAGAAAACTGAATATCGATATGATGACCTGAGAAAAGACTGGGGTAGGGGAACAGAAAAATGTACGCCAAGACTTAACGCTACATCCGGAATTCTACACGTACACTGCTATGCTGTTTTTAGAATTTTTGTAATTTTGCTGTTGAATTGTATATTGCGTAAATGCCGAAGAAAATGATGCTTAAAAATGAAGCTAAAAAAAATGGTTAGTAGGAGTGAGTGTAACGGCAAACTGGTAGACTACGCGCTCAGCGAGAACGTAAAAAACCTTAATAAACTCTTTTTTGGGTGACCGTTAAAATCTGAAAACTTTCAGAATTTTATTTATTTATTTATTTATTATTAATGAATTTATTCATTGGTGTAAAAATGAAAATTATGTGATAATTAGTTTAATCGTTACACAAGGATATGAGAGAAAAATTCAACATTAAATTTTAGAAAAAATTATCAAACTTTGAAAAAATTTCTGTAAAATATTATTTTGTCATCGAAAATACGTATGTTTGAAAATTTTTAAAAAACGCGGGTCTGTAGAAAATAAGAGAAACCAAGCTGAATTAACCTGTACGATTAAAAAAAGCAAAAATATAATAAATAAATAAATAAATAAAAATAAATAAGCATAACCAAACTTATGAAAGCATAGTAACCAATTAATTTAACCAATTTTTTAAGGAAAATTGTTTCTATTTAATTTACTATTCTGGCATTCAGTTTAAAAATTTTGCCGTTTGAAATTTATTATTATTTTAGTTACAATCATTTCATTTATTTATTATTTTGTTTGCGTGTCTTTGGATGCCTTACATAACTCTGCAGTGTTTTACAATTTTAAACTTTATGTAAGCAGATTTAAAAAAAGAAATAGAAAAGCATTGTGTTCGATCGTAAACAGCATAAGAAGCTCATGGAGACCGGAAAGTTGTGGGCAGCTTGTTATTTGGATACAGCAAAGGCTGACTACCTGCCTAAGGGAAGGTATATTCATATGGAAGACTTTCTGAAATAAAATGGTTCAGATTTACGCTACAAATTACGCACAGAAATTAAACAAAATCTTCATCTGCTTCATATGACCAGTGGTAGCCTTAAAATTTTCTTAACTATGTGACAAACGTTTAAGAAGATTCATCACGTTTAGAAGAGAATCTATTTCTCATTTATTGATTTTTTGGATGATATTTTTATTTTAAATATTTAAAAATTATTTTGCACATTTTGCGTGCAGGTTTCTACACATTTATAAAGTTAATGAATCTCTTTTCTGATGTCAGAGAATCTGATTTTTACCAACCAAAAATATCAATTGTTTTTGCACATTTTCATTTATTGGGGCAAGGGAGTGATGACGAAAAATATATCGTGTGTCTTATCAAGTCTTAGCACTTCGTAAATGAGTAATATTTTATTTTAAAGAACGAAACGACCACTACTGAAAAAAAATTCACCACCTATTTGTATCAAAATTGCAATGGAAAAACTAGATAGGATTGAACTAAGTGAATTTATTTGAGAAGTCCCAACGACTTTTAATTAATAAAAGAAGGAACATAATTTAAAAAATAATTCTTTCTTGAGAATAACTCCAAAGCTGCAGTTGCACAACTAGCATGCATTCAGTAAGCTCTAAGCTACGTAAAGCTCTCTGCATGCAATTAATTATTAGTTTAAACTTGTAAGGTATATCCTAAATTTATAATAGTTATTTTTAATTTTATTCACCTTTCCTATCTCTTTTAGCTTCATCTAACAATTCCTTACCAGAATGAGGTTTTAGAGCCGCGTTAAATGCAAATGAGTAGTAAGAGTATTTAAGTCGAAGTTGCGCTGATTTCGACAGACAGAATTACATTTCCCGAATAGCGTGCGTTTCCCTTTTGGCTACGTCTGTTATTAGGCTCGGCCGTATTACGTGCCCTTGATAGCTTCGCTAGCTAATTTAATATTACGAGCCAACTAGTTTAGAAATTGTGTTAACTTCGGCTAAATCTTTTTAGTTAGTCATTAGTCAGCTCTTATTTCTTATATTTTTGAGATGAAACCCAAGTGGAGGCTTTATTGTACGTCTTGAGAAAGGGGCTATCTGTCAATCTTTATTTTGAGCAATAAAGGGCATTTAACCCTTCTTGAGTTTCTATTCCTGAGCTTAAGCGATTATTCGCTTCACTAGGTTCCTCAACACTTAGTTAATAGATAAAAGTGAGGATCCCTACAAACTGTTTCAGCTCAGTTTAAGATTGGGTAGGTAGTTTAGGCTTACAAAAGGCATGCCGATGTCATATTTAAAAGAGAATGACTTTGTGGAGATTACTGAATTCTTCCCTCCCCCTCTCGTAGCCAGTAAGTTTGAATGCAGAAGAAATCTGTCCGCATCTCAAGGTTTAAAATACACTGAAACACTTCTTGATCACACGTATGCAAACCGTTGCATATTTCCAAAAATATCTCAGATCACAGTTACTAAATACTACGAATTGTGCACTTCCAAGGCAATCAAAAATATTTGCAACTAGGAGACAGTTTCAGACCTGATGTAAATTAGAGGCAACTGAAGTGTGTGTCATGGCAAAGAGATTATGGCACATAAAAGATGCTATGTGGGGTTATTTCTGGAAGGTTATTTTAACACTTTTAAGAACAACAACGCTCTTTGCGATGCCTGTCTATCTGTCTAGATACACGAGAAAGCGCCGAAAAGTCAGTATTAAAACTAAAATGTAACTTCTCAAGCAAGACAGGAATAATGAAAAAAAAAAAAAACGCAGCGTTAGCTTGGACCTTCGCAAAACAAAGAATCTTTTTTTTTTTTTAAATTTTTATTCCATAACTAAATGAAACTTTAAAAATGACAATGTTTTTAAACCAATTTTGTTTTTTAATTTTAATTCCATAACTAAACGAAACTTTAAAAATTACAATGTTTACATAAACTTTCATAGTTTGCATTCGGATAATCAAATCTGTGAGACAATAAGTAACAATATAT